AATCAATGAAATGTGAAAACACTGCTTTTCGAACGTTCTAGTTACAATTCTTCAACTTTGAACGCGTATTACAGCACTATGGATAAGAGCACAGGAATGTATCTATACTTGCTAGGTTCCCCAAACATTCAGCTTTCATATGCATATATTATATATTATAGTTTTCGAGTAAATCAATGAAATGTGAAAACACTGCTTTTTCGAACGTTCTAATTTCTATTTTTCAACTTTGAACTCGTATTACAGCAATATGGATAAGAGGACAGGAATGTATCTATACTTTAGCAGATATTTGGAAAATTGCTCACTGCTACTAATATTCGCGCCTCCCTTAGAGTAGTCCACGCCTGGGAGGCGCGTCTCACAGTTTGGAAAACGCTGATTTATTGAATTGAAAGATTTGATGATAATGCCTATCTAGTTTTATGATTTGCGATTAAAAAATCATTTGATAAAATGTACATATTTGGGGGATTCCTAAGGTAACAATTCGTTTTTGGCCGAAAAGTTGATCAAAATTATTTTCTTCAGACTTGTTAATATGCAAAACTGTGATAATAATTATTATCTCGAGTGAATCGAAATACCGTCTATTGAAATCCCGACTGTTTTAGAATTATTTAACAATTTGAAGGAGTTAGGCAATAAAGACAAAAATTTTCATGTTATTTTTATAACAAAATTATTTTTGGTTTAATATGGTAAATATGTAAATGCAATTTATAAAGAAAGTTAAGTTTATTCAAATAAAAAAAAGACAATTTACATATAAACATATGCAACAAATGTTGTCATTTCAAGGGTTCTTATAATTACATTCACCAACAAATTAGTATATGCTAGTATATGGGTATATACTTGTAAAACACTTAAAAGAAGGATCATTCAAAATATGAAACTTATCAAAAGATATAACATCTGATTGTGTATGAAAATATCTCATGTAGTATCAAGTTTGTCTGTGTAAAAAAAAGAAGATAAATTGAAACCCTATGTCCTATGTTACAAATAAATATTTTCTCTGCTTAGTCTACTATCATAATACTTAGAAAAATATTATATTTTTGACTTTAACTATATAATGAAACATCAGGTTATGCGATGAATATAATAAAGGTAGGTGTGATCGAAACAAGTATAAAAAAAAAATAATATGTAAACAAAAACAAATAAACTATTTTTAAATTAAATCAGCGACATTCATAGGCATCTCATCGATTTGTGTGGAGTAGTACTGTTCAATATCCCTGAGGATCCTGATGTCGTCACTCTTGACAAAGTTAATTGCAACACCCTTCCTGCCGAACCGTCCGGATCTACCGATGCGGTGAATGTACAATTCACGATTATTTGGCAAATCGTAATTGATGACCAAACTGACTTGCTGCACATCGATTCCTCTTGCCCATACATCCGTGGTGATCAATACTCTGTTCTGTCCAGATCTGAATTCTTTCATAATGACATCGCGCTCTTTCTGCGGCATGTCTCCATGCATCGAGCTGACCGTAAAGTTAGCTTCCCTCATCTTCTCAGTTAACCAATCGACCTTACGCTTAGTGTTGCAGAATATTACGGCTTGTGTAATCGTCAATGTGTCATACAAATCGCAGAGTGTGTCAAATTTCCATTCTTCTCTTTCAACAGCCACAAAGAATTGTTTGATTCCTTCGAGAGTCAATTCATCACTAAAACATCATAAAAATATTAGTCTTAGAAATAATTACTTAAATATATTACCGTTTGACTAAAATGCGAATCGGATCCGTCATGAACTTGGAGGTGATTTCTAAGATTTCGTGAGGCAATGTAGCAGAGATTAAAACAACCTGAGTAGACGGAGGCAAAAACCTATATACATCATAAATCTGCTCCTTGAATCCTTTGTTCAACATCTCATCTGCTTCATCAAGAACCAACATTTTTACAGATCTGGTTCTAAGAGCTCGTCTACGAATCATATCTACAAAGAAATATATATATAATAATTATTTTCAACGATTATATTAAAACTAACCATAAACTCTTCCTGGTGTCCCACTAACAACATGCTGTCCATAATCAAGTTTCCTGATATCTTCACCCAGATTAGTGCCACCGATGCAAGCATGGCATTGCACATTCATGAAATCGCCCAAAGCCAAAATAACCTTTTGAATTTGTACAGCGAGTTCCCTTGTAGGTGAAAGACACAGAACCTGGGTCTCACGCATAGTCAAATCCAAAGATTGCAATATAGAAATTGAGAAGGTGGCTGTTTTGCCTGTACCAGATTGAGCTTGAGCAATCACATCCCGACCCTTCATTATAGGTCTGATCGCTCGCTGCTGTATAGCTGATGGCTTCTCGAAACCTTAAATATCAATACAGTTATTATAATGAACAAATTGTATACAACAAAGATACATACCATATGCAAAGATTCCCCTCATCAGCTCTTCTCTGAGGTTCATATTCTTGAATTTATCAATAACCTCCACATCTTCGCTCGTTTCGAACTCCACGTTAGATAGATCTTCCAACAAAGTGTTGGTATTTCCACTTTTACCAGCATCACCCATCTTCGAGATATGTGTCTTCGACAAAGAACTAAGGTTTAATGAAAATTTAAACAAACTCAAAACACGATGCCCAACCAAGTCTGGAATGGTAATGGATAATGTGTAATGATGCCAAAAAAACGCTGTGCTCTAGTCTATATTGACAGTTCAGTTATAAACGCGACGTTGCCATTTTATGTTCAAATATAATTATAATACACGTTTCTTTTATATACTTTTATTAAGTAATCATAATATTTATATTATTTAATACAATATTTATGCATTTTATATTTAAAAAATAATAATATTTGTCTAATGTAATACAAAAAGTAACAAACATCCAGTGGCGTACAAAATTCATATATAGAAAATAATAACAACATAATAATCAATTGCTTTGAATTACAATATTATACATTTTTTTGTTATAATGAGATTTATTTCAATTATTATTGATATTAATATCTTTCAGCCCTTATTTCTACCCCCGTTCGGGTTTATCCGCCCCCACAAATTTTTCATAAATATAAAAATAATACAACAGTACAATTGCGCTCTCTATTAACCATAATTCTTAAGTAAATGTTTAAAAATTAAATAAAAATTATTAATTTGTTACTTTTGTTATATTTTCCAATGATAAACTTATGTTGTTATGGTTGCAAGCAATATTTGAATTTGCTTCAATAATTAATCCCTCTACGATTAATTAATGAAACTATTAATCTATGACTTACAAAACGGTTTCAGTTTATCAAAGTGTTTTAATGTTACAGATGTGAAAATAAATGCGATTTATTCTGTCTAATTTATAAGTTATTTGTTTATTATAACTACTGAAATTTCTTAATAATGCTAATGCTAAGTTTGTAGAAACTACTTATTCTTTGTATATAGATTTTCAATGCATTTATTGCAATGAGTTTCAAATTATTGGATTTTGTTATTTAAGTATTGAGAATAATTTATTTAAGTAATTGATTGATTAGATATAAACTAGGCAACAATGTTTAGAGTTTTTTTTTTGTTATAAAGAAGAATAAGATTTTATAAATGTGAAACGTCAATCATTCAAGTGTTGATTACAAATTGTTTATTAACAAATAAAGTTTTTCATTCATATTGAAAGCACTAAAATGTTTATAAAAAAATATACACATTATTAGAGAAGTGGATGTGTACTAAAGAGGAGTTATGTAAGTTAGATGAAAATAATGTTATAATTTAGACAGTTTTAAAGGCTTACTTTCATGTTGATAAAATAAAGTATATAATATGTATTTTAGGATTTTGAAGTTATTGTAATGAATTTCTGGAATGAAGAAATGAAAGACTGATGAATACGAATAGTTTGATGTTATTAAGGTACGTAATAATAATAAGTTACTATATGTATTCTTCTAATTATAAAAAATGTGTATTTATAGTTATTGAATTGGGAGCTTTCATCATTCTGGAATGAGGATAAGGATGTGTGATGATGGTTGCGCCACTGCAGTTGATGATGGTAACGCCACTGGGCCGCTCCCGATATTTGGTCCTTCGCCTACGCCACTGTTGCGGAACACATAGTGAGCGTAAAAACTGGTGCAATCGTGGAATGCAGAAATTGTTGCTGGCGGTGGATCTGGATCGTCGTTTGTGTTGAATTTGAATGGACGTGAGTGCGTTGGAGGTAATTAGATGGCGTGGTAGAGTGGCGGTTGCTGCTGCTTCTGGATTGTTGTTGTTGTTGGAGGTGGTGGCGGCGGCGGCGACGACGACGACGGTTCTTCGTGTGGTCGTCGGTGCTGGTAATTTGGCAACGTCGGTTCTGACCGACTGAGCCGTCGTGTCTACATCATCAAAAAATTGTTCCGAGAGTGCGGGATAAAGTGGTGGTGCTCCGGTTGTGTGTGAGAGCGTGAGTGTCTGTGCCGTGTTAACAGCGGTTAACAGCATCTGTCTATGTCGAGTCCGATAACAGGCGACCGACGAGTGCATGCAAGTGGCAGTCGCGATAATCCCACGTTTCGTACGATCGCGTCTCGACAATGCGTTGTTTCGGAATATGTGCAATTGCGGCCGCGATTTAACCGAGAGAAGCAGAAGTCGCTGCAGCGGGCGTGCGTCCTCCTCATCACTCCTCATCCACTCCCGAACGTAACCGTCTATTAAATGGTAATTTCAGCAGGTGGAGGTAATCAGGAGAAATCAACGGGCCTCAACGGTCGAAGCACCACCACCATCAGCAGCAACTACAACAACAACAGCCTCTTCATCCCTCAAGACTATCACCATCTCAGCAACAGCCGCTGCTGCTGCTGCTGCCGCCACCGCCGCCGCCGATCCCAATGCTGGGCTCGCTGCCCGTGCGTTGAGATGATGATGGTGATCAAGACCATGTTGGCGGCCTCACCTCTCTCCTCGTATTGCACTCATTGCAGATGGGCTCAAGCCCCAATGCTATGATCTTATCAGACATCCATATAAAACGTACATCATGTACCAAAATGATAAAGGAGGAGAAAGATGTACTGAATGGAAATGGTGAATGCACCACTGAAGATGCTCCTCGAACCAACAATTGTAACTCACATGGGGGAAGGCTCAAGTTTTTCAAAGGTATTTACATCCTTGCATCTTTACACAAATTCAATTCTATACATTCACACTAACATATCTCCATTAAAATGCACATCTGAACGAAAATCTGAAACATTGATGATATTCTATTAGCAACAAATCAATATTATTTCTACATTCTTTAATACATTTGAAACTTCTAAATCGTAAAGATAAAACATAGAATAAAATCAAGTGAATAAATATGTACAAGAAAGATATATCATGTACAGTAAATAAGTAAATAATAATGAGCATTTCGCTTAACGAGTGACGATGAGAAGAGAAGTCCCGGATTGCGTGCCTGCTACATCATAGTGTACACATATTTTTGAATATCTTTCAAATCCGAACGAATTAAACTTAACGAGTTTCACTGTTTGTTGATCTATGAATTGAAAATACAATTTATTTATATTCTTTGTACATATTACAATAACAAACTCATTTTCCTCCCTGAAATGTATATAAATAATTCATCATGAAACGTTATACATACATTTTAATTGTTTCGTTCTTTAACACAAGTTATACTTCTTCAATTCAATAAAATTGTAATCAAAATCATTCATATATTTTATGTATTGATTATATATATTCAATTTGTAAACATTTGTCTAACTTAGTAACATTGACCAAATAACATGTAAATTGTCTATTCCATATTATTTTCTACAATACCAAACATTATAAATATGTTTTTACTGAAGGCAACATTTGTTGCATGCACATACGATATTATTCTCTTTCTATGAGATCTGAAAAAAAGGAAAGTGAACATATTGTGTTAGTGGAATACGCAGAAAACGTAGCTCAATAAAATGTGAAAATATTGAGAAACGATGGTAATGAAATACACCTGATATTTCCATCTAAATATGAATTATGTTCATGTTTACATAGAAATATTTTCTCTCATTCTTAGAAATATTTCCATTTATATCTGATACTTAATAACTTCTGCTAAACACATTAACTTTACTAAACTTCAAACTATTTTTTTTTCCATATTGCAAGTTAATCGAAATAATTCAAACAACTTCACAGTTTGTTATTCTTATTTTGATTTATCGTAGACCAATAAATCAATCGATGCAAATTAAAACCAAATAGTTGCGTCTGCTTTTTTATTCCTTTCATTCGCATTTTGTATAAATTAAGTATATTCTTTGTGCTCAGCTTTTTAAAGCAAATTCACCGAATGACCTCCGCAATGAGAATATCTTAGGAATAATGTGAAATACACACCAGGAAGATCATCTCAGTTTACCAGATTCTTATTAGATGTGTGATTATATGAATTGTACACAGTTTCATTCACTGTTTGCATATTACGACCGGACTTGATTTATGCATTTCGTTTCTACATAAATATTTACAATTGTAAATTGCAAACAACTTTGTTTTTTTTATATATTTCTTAAAAAGCTGCAGTTTTTTTTATCGTGAATTGACTGAAGATATATTTTGCTGTGATTTATTAATCTTAGCTTCATAATTTTGTAGATCAACAAAATATTAATTAATAATAATACTATGGAAATTACATTTTTATACATATATTAAGACATTTACATAGAAATTTATCTAATTTAATGAATTTACTAATTGAATTTATTATACAAACAAAGCTCACTAGCAAGTCCAGATTTTGGATAATAATTGTTTATAGGAAACTTGGATTTGCAGTGTATATCAGTCGTTGTGGAAATTATTCGTGAGCGATTTAATTTAATAGATAATGTAGCCTAAATTGCAGTATAGGACATTCTTTGAAAGAAAAGAAGATGTAAGTGGATCCGGTACAATCTCTACGGTCAGCAGCAAATCGAGTCATTCGTGGCCAATAAATGTTATTATTATAAGTGGTCATGTGGGACGAGTTTGGAATTTCTGAATTCAGATCGTATTTGGTGGTAATGTCAACACTGTATAAGATGCACCTTCAAATTGGACATATCTAGTAATTAATTACACAATTTCGATGCACTGGATTCATAATCTATTTTACACATTTTTTTTGAATTATTACGAAAAAAAACTTACGAAATTATTGGTAATAGAACGATCATATGACATTGAGGAGAGTAGTTGAACTTTAGTGGATTTAATATTTTAGTTATTGATGATATTTTAAACATTTACTTGAAACGTTTTCAATGAATATTCATGATTGTTTGTATTTAAATATAAAATATTATAATTTCCTTTGACATACTTTAATATTTATTCTTTGACAAAGATGATTCAGAATGCAGCGGATTTATTAATTTTAAACTATGATTGTAGTAATAATAAGTAATGTAAAAAAGTATCATTTTGTATCGTTGAAATGTTAATGCTCGTAATGTAAGCATACACAGGAGATGATAATTCTCGTGAATATGCGATAATATTGTATTGATTTGCTAGAGGTGTGATACATTTAGTTTATGTGTGATTTCGATCACTCTCGAATGTAATCATCTATAATCGATTTGCCACAAATAAAAATTCAAGTTTGATCGATTCTTAAATAAATTAGTATTGAATTGTAAAACAGATTCTTGTATATCTTTTTTTGTGAAAAAAAGTCTTCTATAAATGTTCAACTTAAATATGAAACTGGTAATAGATATTATTATGTAGGTTAGTACAAATGGTAGCATAGCTTGGGAATTTTGTTTAGAAAAACGATGATCTTTTATAAATAAAAAATTGAGGATAAACGGGATCAATATTTCATTAAGTCTTCCAGTTTTATAGTCGTAATTAGTTGATATTACTGTGGTATAATTATTGTATGATAAGTGTGTGTATTTGTGCAATTAGTTTGCCGAATTGTATGTAACAATTTGGTTACTTGCGAAGTATGGCGTAGCGTGTGGCCGAGTTAATTTGCTGAAATATTTATATGACATACATTGTGTTACAGATGGAAAGTTCATTTTGGAATTGGAGAGCGCTCGTGAAGGTGAGCGAGTGTCTTGGGTTTCGGTGCCAAGAAAGACATTTTGGCCACCCCAGGGCACCGCCTCATCGACACCATCCTATCGACAGGAGAGCAGCACGTCCCTCAGCGGTGAGTCCTAAAGTTTTTTTTTATTTTTTAATTTTTAAACAAGCACATGATGATCAATCGTTAATAGTTTCAGATGATAACAGCTCGATACAGTCTTCTCCGTGGCAGAGAGATCATTCGTGGAAGCAGTCGAATCCGCGTAAGAATCTTTCGAAGGAATTGATGTTCCTGTATTACCGACCGGCCGGACTTCGTTTCACGAAAACCGGCGCGAAGCGACGTCGTCGATCGCACGACTCCCCCAAGGAATCCTCACCGCAGAACAATAGTCTTATGTGCAATAATAAGAGGCAGCCGCTGCTGGCCGTCATCCAAACGTTGCTGGAAAAACTGTCGTCCGGTTCGCCGCGATCCGAAACGGCTGTTGTTTCACCGAGGAAAAGGATTCTGCGTGAGCTGGAGACCGATTGCAGGTTGCTGAAGAACGTCGACAGCGGACAGAAGAGGAGTCGCGGCAAACCGACGACGGTGCCGAGCTCCATCGTCAAAATGACTAGTCCGGTGCGGATGAACGGGACGAACGCGGAGCCGCCGGGGCAGGTCACCGCAGCAACTCCAACCCGTCCAGCGAGGAACAACACCAGCTACAGCATCACGTCGATTCTATCCGAAGATCGGAAACCTAAAGCGTCGCCGACACATTCACCTAGTCATTTCTCACCCGGGCCAGCCTCTTCTGTCGGCGTCCATCAACATCAGTATTCCGCAGGCGCCGCGACGCCGACCCCCGAAGAACGTTGGTTCACAGAAAGCGTCGATAAGCTCAGATCTATAGAACTCTCTGTAAGTTCATATTTTTACTTTACTTATACTTCATTCATTTGATTATTGACAACATCTATTTCTTCTTACATAAACCAATCAGTCTGTTCAATGTGCGATACTTTTTCAAGAACAAACGTCGAATTCTTCCCACTATAGCTTCAATGAATACTATAACGCGACTATATACCCGGTGACATACATACTTGTGACGTATCTATAAAAAAAAGCATATATTAAAATAACTTTGCAAACGTCCAAATACATATTATAAATGCATTGAGGTTCATTACTAAAACTCAAGAATTTTATTTTCATATCAACAGAATTGACTATATCCTAATAATGTACAAATTGAAATAATCTAATTAATTTGATAGATTCTATAACATTATTAACTTTTTGCAATTACTTGACTATTACAAATATGAGTAAAAATAATTTGCAACGTGTTAACGTTTGTTAGATGTTGAAATAACCGTAATTAAAAGAAACATGCACGCACCACACATCGAGAGACAGTTGGTAGGAAAAAGCTTTTTTTTACTTTATTTATGCGTTTCGCTCGGTGGCCATTTGGTTCTTAAAGCGTAATAATAACGTTACTTCTTGCAGTCGACGTTGTTGTACTTTTTCTTTATTTGCTCGCTTGCTTCTCTCTTAAATAATATTCAGAGAGGCTGGAGAGAACAATACATTTTCTGTTTCTTGTTTTTTTTTTCCTATTTCTTTCTATTGTCCACTATTTCGGCCAATTAGACCGTGACATGTGTGGCAAGTGCATTTCTGTTTACCGTCCGTATAATTATAATTGTTGCTTTCTTTTTCGGAGTACTCGTTTTTTTTTTCCTTGCTTCTTGTTGTAGTAATAAGAGTTTTTCTTCTCTTTGTTTTCAGCACTCCGAAGCTAAACGGATTTTCGTCCCTTACACCGCCTGTTCGTATATGGTTCCACCGTACAGCTACAATTTTCCTATGGCCCCACAGTACTATCATTCTCCTTATCCCCGGTCGTATCCGATGCCGCTATATCCATTGCAGATGCCAGTTAGGCCAGATGCACCGTCCTGTTCCTGGGCCGCCGAACCCGCACGAACTGATACAGAGCACAGGGACGAGAATATCACAGGTAAAACGAGCA